AGAGAGAGGGAGAGGGAGAGGGAGAAAGAGAGAGGGAAGGGAGAGAAAGAGGAGAGGAGAGGGAGAGAGAAAAGAGAGGGAGAGGAGAGAGAAAGAGGAGAGGAGAGGGAAGAGAAAGAGGAGAGGAGAGAGAAAGAGGAGAGGGAGAGAAAAGAGAGAGGGAAGAGAGGGAAAGAGAGGAAGAGAGAAGAGAGAGAAGAGAGGAAGAGAGGAAGATAGAGAAGAGAGAGAAGAGAGAGAAGAGAGAGAGACAGAGAGAGAGAGAGAGAGAGAGGAGAGAGAGAGAGAGAGAAGAGAGAGAGAGAGAGAGAGAGAGACAGAGAGAGAGAGAGAGAGACAGAGAGAGAGAGAGAGAGACAGAGAGAGACAGAGAGGAGAGAGGAGAGAGGAGAGAGGAGAGAGGAGAGAGGAGAGAGGAGAGAGAGAGGAGAGCCAGGGACCAGCACCTGATTATTCTGAGCAGTGAAATTGAAAAGGGAAACCCCGTCATTGAGATCACAAGAGTTATGTGATAAAGCATTAGTTTGTTATTACTACCTAAATAGGTATTGTTCAAAATAACACCAAAACTGAAGAACCTCATCTTGCCATCAGACTGAGTATAATATTCCAAGACACTTTCCTTCTATTTTTTTTCCTTTGCAGACTATCAGATTTTACTTGGTCCTGATAAGAGGTTGGGGCAAAGCCCCTTAATCACTATAAAAGTGAACTGCATTAGCTAAACCACTGAAATATTTGGTTAATGTTTATGGTATGGATTATAGTAATTCTTTACATTACTGATGCACTTGCCACGCCATGTCACAAATTTTATCCAACAATTTAAGTTGCCATGACTGAGTGCATATGGGCACTACCCAAGGGAAGGGTTGAAGGGCTCCCCCAACCCCCTCCAACATTGCCTTCACCTCTGTATGCATGACAACATGAGCTGAAACTCGGGAGCACTGAGTGCACTTAGGCTGTGAGCAGGTTTTCATGATTATCCTTCATTTGTAGCAATACCATTTGTCTTCAGATTATTTCTTGCAATGAGGACTGGAAACTTTAGTCCTCTACAAAAACATCATCAATTTTCCCTACCATAGTGCATCAATACCATAAAGATTAGCCAGATGCACTAACCTAGGGCTATTGACGATATTCTTGTTGAGGCCAGCGTGTTGCAATAATGTAATTTTACAGAATACAACAGCATCATCAATGTAACAATTCTGGTATTGATGGATTCTTCTCACTCTTTGCTACCCAAATATATCAAAATTATACAGAAATTCTTCAATTGGCGACAATCCTGGTTCTGATAGCAAAGGAGGCATGGATTAGCAGGGAAATTGCAGGGTAAGATTTTAGTAATACATAGAGAATTAGTCACTATATGTCTAATGCTGACAGTTTGAGCCCTTGACCCACAACCCCTGCTCAAAAATACAAAAATCTATGTATTTATGGCATGTGGGAGTGCCTGATGCCAAGTCTATGACATTGTTTGTTTTCTTTGGCTGGGGGGTTGCAGGGATCATATCCCCCTGCATTATACAATATAGTGATTGATTCTATGTATATTATTCAAACTGTACCCCGCAAGTTCCCTGGTACCTTTTATGGGGCTGAGACTTCATGATTAGCCCATTGGCACCGGGTGTCATGTAAGTACTTGCCATGGCTGTTGTGGACCAAACGCTGGGGGCATCATGCCATGCCTATTCCCGCGCTACTGGCTAGTCGGACGGAGGTTGTTTTTCTCCAGTAGTAGCGGCTTCATTTATATGGTAAAGATTTTAGGCAATGGCACCTAAAGTGAAGGTAAACCAAAATTTTAATATCTTTATAAATTTTACCAAAATAAAAGCTTTTAGGTGCTATATGTCGCTTGCAAACTACCGATCGAGCCGGGCGCAAACAAGCCGGTGCATATGTAAACTTGACAAAATTTTTACCCGTTGCTGATGGGTTAGGGGGTTCTGGCACAATTTCTACACATGTGTACAAGAAGAGGAACAAATCCATTGATACCAAAATAAGTCATGATTGGTTATGCAAAGGTGCTGCATAAAATTACCAAAATAATCTGCAGACATGAATGTTAATGCCGTAAATAAAGCAAAAATTAATGGAAAGCACTGCTCACAGCCTAAGTCCACTTTGTGGTCCCGAGTTCTAGCTCTATCTTGCTGGGGATACCTCTTGACAGTAGGTTTGCCCCTGCTGTGAATGTGTGGAGGCTTCTTGGTTTTCCAGGGCGGAGTTGGGGTGGCAGCCTTCCCATATAAACGTAATTTCCAGGTAAAAAGTAAGAAGCTAACATAACCTAACTGATCGTGGTATCACCTTTGGTAAATTTACAGTGGATAACAATCAGAGTTACAATTTAAAAAGTGTATGGAATCATTACCTTAACGTAAACTAAGACTTTTCATCTAAGGCATGAGGTGTGGAAATCGAAAATAAAGGAGATAAATGACAGAAGAGAAGATCGACCCATCTTTTTTCTAAGTCGCTCCACTTGTTTACATCATGAATGTTTTCAATATTATGACCACTTAACTCATTCCTGCAATCTTTCAAGTAGTTTATGTATTACTACAAACTTGTGAAGACAATTATTTTGTAAATCTCAAGGTCTGATTTTCCTAATTCATGTATTTTATGCATTCCTTTATCTTTACTGAATTTTTTTTTTAATGAGTTTTGATAGTTTTACCGTATTCCTTTCAAAATCCTAACGTGCATTTGCGCTTTTCACTGGGACTTTCAATACCTCACGACAACCATTCTTTGACAATTGCGGCGAGTAATCTTTCGTTTTCAGTGTTGTGTCAATTCCGGATCCTTTGTAACACAATATAGTGGCTTAGCAGAAGAAATGGATTTTAGTAACTAACTAGGGGGGGTAGGGGGGGGGTCATCTTACATTTTTTCATGCATGGAAATTTGATAATTATTATTTTTTTAAATACCTATCATGAAGATAGGGTTAATATTGTAACAGGGGTTATCAATATTGTATTATGACTCAGTTGTTAACAGAATTGAGCCTTTGTGGAAATCATGTAATGCTTTGCAGGAGATCTGTGGCATAGTTGAATTCTATGCATCCTTGATTGGTGCATTGGCGTTCACTTTCACTTTCATATTTTAAATTCTCTCCGTAGGCTATTCAAAATAAAGTCATCAACTCAAATGCCAATCTATATACCAGGCATAAAACATGATTTGCAACATGTTTAAAAAGTAATACTTCAAAGCACCAAGCAAAAATAAACGAAGAACGAACAGGTTAATCATATGAAACTATTGTTATCTGTGCAGAGGTAATCTGCAGACGGATGATGAAACAAGTACGCAGAAAGGTAAAAAAAAAAAATTATTTAAATGAGAACTAATCATGGACAGAAAGTTATCTGAGAACTACATTTGCGCGGACAGAATTTGACCAAATAACTTTTGAGCATGGGAAACGCGTTCCCCATGCAGACCAAACTCTGCAATCTGGCCCTCGGACAGTACCTGAAGGGCATGCCTAGTCACAGCAACTTACATTCTTGAATAAGTTTTGTGACATGGAATTAGGCTACTTTATTAGTCAGGACCTATTGGGTGGTGTGAATTCCTGCAGAATTTACCAAAAGGTGGGTTAGATTCCTATATATTTTTAAAAGTTGGCGTATCGGTCATAGACTTTCAACGACGCAGGACATGTCCATATAATTTTATTGGCCGATTTAGGCCCTTTTTGTGCTAGTTTTCCACATTTCTGTTATCTATCCTTATTTCAGCTGTTTTACCCCATAACTTCCTTGATATACTTCATAACCTCCCCTACTAACAGGATTTAACACATCAAGATTGTCAGCTGTGATTGCTACGGAAATGATCATCAGTCGTTCTCGTCACATAGGAATAAATCTGATAAATCTTGTCTGGGAAGTAACAATTGTTATTTATGGTATAAATAACCTCATCTTTTCCTGTCTTCTCTTGTTTGCTTCCCCACGCTTGTCATGACACCAATTGGGGGCTTTTCTGCTGTACAATCAGACATCAACCAATAAATGTAGGTTTGTATCTGTGTATTTAAAAATATATTTTCACAATTAACATTTCTATGGAAAAATTGGCCATAGTAATAGTAGCACTGCCACTGTCTTCCTCAATTCACATCAATTTAAAGTGCCTGACCTATTTATAGTACTGCATTTCTTCATTCTATGGACAGCGCTATATATACATACAGAAAAAATTCCAAATTTTCTGCGAATTAATACTTTAAATATAAATATGCTGCATAATATGAGGCAAAACTAGGTTTAAATCGACTACAGAGCCTCAAGATGCTTAACCAACTACAAAATCAACATTGCGTCATTGCCTGCACGTACACCATACCCGGCATGTTTCTGCTAGTCCTTTATCGAATCCATTTAAGATCCAATACCAACCTCTATCGACTCATATTACCACAAACTACACACACAATATACATTCGAATATACTTACAGCGGGGTGCTTCTTCAAGCTAGCGAGTGTGAGGCCCTGCATATTGGAATTTAGTTTGAGTGAACCTTCTCCTCCAGTAACTGAGTCAATATGGCGGAGTTACAGGCTCTCAGCTGATGATCTATCCTGGCAAGTATAATGCAACGTAATTAACTTTCTGTTATTAACAACAGAATATTATTGTAAATTGTATTTTTAACAAAACTATCTAAAAGTTTAATAGATACGTTTTTATGTATCTTTAATTCAAAATGTATATCTATAAATCAAAATATCAACAAGGATGAACTCGTAGTTATCACTTACTTTTGCCTTGGAGTAAACATCAAATTGACTCTCGCAGAGACTGTGAGCTCTCAGCTGATGCTCTCTCATGGCAAATGTAATGCTACGTAATCATTCCTCGAATTTTCAAAATATAGATTACAGTTACACAGCTCTTGATTTTGAAGCAGTAAATACCGTTTTATTAAATTGCTTTTTAACATAATAACCAGAGATTATATTTTTTTGCGAAATTTATTAATTAGAAATGATGACTTTCTTATCGCTCACATTTGCCATGTGGTAAACAACACTGACTATGGCATTCATCTCTGACTGGACGCAAATTGGCAGCGATGTGTTTTACAGGTATGATATTCCCTACATATCCTTCTTACATTTTGAGAATTTGGCCTTAGGCTTAACGCAAGTAATGGTTCATTAAAACCTTGAGTCTTACAATATGGTTCTGATAGTGACAGTTCCGGTAGAGTGGAAACCGCCCACTTCTAGCACACTAGAAATTATTTTATTAATTTGTACCAGTGTCTTTTTAGGTAAAGATGTATATTTGTCATTTATGTCTCTCTAATCTTTAGCCCCAATTACATTACGTATGATTGTAATTTTTGAAAAATAGATTTTGGTTATTTGTGAATAAACCAATTTCTGGAGTTAGCCAATCCAATCCCCTTGAAATTTGCTGTGATCTGTCATGAAAAGCTTCAGTTATTGAGTCCAACCTGTTAGTGGCATAGTGTCATGTGATTTTGATGGCATCATTGTGTTATATGAAGGCTAGCTAACATTCTTGAAGATGGTAGAGTGAGTACTTGAGCTTATGCTAAGCTGCCAGGGAAACTGTCTTATGGGTATAAGTTTAGTGGTAAACTGGCAGAAAACCATGAGCCAACAATCATATCATAGATGATAAAGAAAGTGAAAAAATGCAATGTTTGGCCATGGAAGACTATATACGATGGTGAGTGAATATATGAATGAGCAGACCTCATTATAAATGCACAAATTACTAAAAATATATCTGTATGAACCAAAATCTTACCTAACCAGAGGACTTTGAGTCTGAAACCCATCCTAGTTATCATGGCTGGGTACACTGACTTCAGCCCCTCACCTCAGTGCCATATTTCCCTAGCCAAGGGACCCCAACCCAATCACCACATGTTTTATGTGGTGAAAAACTATCTGTAGAAAGGAAGGGAAGGCCTTTTCTGTCCTGCTGACTCACTAGAAGCATCAGATAACTGTTTCTAAATTTGTTCATATTTTTTGTGAAATGAACTTAAAAAAATTGTTAGTCTTAGGGCAAATACTAGATTCTATGTAGTATAATAACTATGATTCCTACTGCACATATGCAATGGAAATCTGAGTTTCATTGTCACACAGGTGCTCTTCATTGAAAGGTAAACTCTTTTGGTACCTTTAAGTGTACTGAGTACACATTTTATTGTTTTTAGTAGTTTTGTTATTTTTGTTTTTGTATTGGTGTTGTGTCCATACCTCACTTCACTTCTGTTTTGATTCCAGCCAGATACAAGCATTGATCATTTAAGCTCATTCATTATTATTTTGATTATTTGCTAATGTTACTTACCCCACTTAGCAGAGAATGCCTCAGGTTTTCTCTTTTAACAGAAATATGATTTGTGTATCACAATTTTTTTTAGTCACAAAGATTAGTTGTCTCAAAATAAATTTTTAATAATACATATATATGGTTTTGGTAAATTTTAGGTTGAAGGAGATTTTATTTTAAAAATTGATCTTATTCTCCTTACTATTCCAGAAAACATGAACTCTACACGATGGAATGGGGAGGGGGGATTAACCTGGGGGACTTCATGGTTGCCGCAGCATCTTATGGGGGTCCCATAGCTCTTACACGAGATGAGACCAAATTTACCAAAACACAGCAGTCAGGAAAGCCCATCATTTTCGTCTTCAGCTCATCAGGGAGGAAAATTTCATCCTTTAAGGTGAATGTCAACTTTTATTTGATGTTGGAGGTATCCTTTAAAGTTTTGAGATATTTCTTGTGTTTATGATATTTGATTGATTGGGGAAAGTATATATGTATAGCCATTGTACTTTTAAAACCCTACTCATCCCTCACTGAAATAAAGTAAGGGGATAATAATTTTCTTTCTCAATCTCACATAGAACTAAATTACAAGATAAGGATTTTTTTTGTATCTTTTTCATATGATAGTGGATGAGTGGCTACCTGCTGTGCCTTGGTTGGTCACGCAGCGAAGACCTGGTGTGCGTGCAGGAGGATGGCGCTGTGTCACTGTATGACATGTTTGGCACTTACCAGCACACCTTCAATATGGGCCAGGTGTGTAATGAGTAAGGTACAAATGGGTAAGATTGTGGGAGATGGATAGCTCTTGAAGATGGGAGAACTTCTCATTTAGGACAAAGTAGGAAACACAGGCAGAAAATGAATATTTTATTTTGTGATTTTGTTGATGTGTCTGATTGCACTTTTAACAAACCATCAATATGAGACAGGTGTGATGAGTTAGAATTAGTTATAGCATATCAAGGATGAACAAGAATTAGATGAAAGAATCTGTCAATATTATATATATATTAATATATATATTATTATATATTATATATATATATATATTTTTTTTTTTTTTTTTTTTTATAATAAGGATGAATGAAATAAGATTGTATAGTAAAATTTAATTTTGATTATACAGACATACTGATTTCACCTTTCTAGGTTTAGATTTACTGGATTTAGGCATATATATTAAAGCATTCTTTATGCTGAAATAGCATTATGTATAGTGAATATAAAGTGGTTATTTTGTGGAAAGGAGAGCTAAAGTTACTGTGATTTGCATTACAGAGTTCAACAGGTGTGGTATGATATTCTGTCTTGAGGTTCTCAGGAGTTGCAGTGAATGTGGGTCTTGTTTGGAAATTCCCTGGAGCTGTATAGTAAGGGTGTTTCCTGGAATTATGATGAATAATGATAGAGGACTAAAGGATGAATTTCTTTCCAGGAAGTCAAAGATACTCAGGTTCAGAGTGCTCAAGTTTTCACCAGCCACCGAGAAACAGGAGTGGCTGTGCTGAGCAAGTCAAACCGCGTATTTATGGTTAGCAACATTTATGAGCCTCGCACCAGGAAGTATCCGGATATTCCCAGTGAGTGTTTGTTTTTTATATATTGGTATGTTTTTTTGAATGTTTATATCTATGGAAATTAAATTATTTATATATATTTTTTTTAAATGGAAAATTTGAAAGAACATGAATCTCTCTCCAGAGATTTATTGTTTGATGATTAGACTTGTAATGCAGTAAAGTAAACATCTTAATAATGTTGTACCTTATATCTGTTTAAGGTGGTGTGGTGGAGTGCTGGTGTGTGATTCGTGAAGAAAGACACACAAACGTCTTAGTCAGCCAAGGAAACAATTTGCTTCTCCTCAATCATCTGGATCAGAGACCTCAGGCTTTGGTAATTTTCTCTTCAGTTAATTTTCTTACTTTTATGTCATTTGATGATGCATTCAGGTTGTATGGTTTTATCTTTCCTGATTTTTAGTGTTTTTGTTTCATAACTTTTCTCTTTATTTATGTATTCATTTATGTATTTATTTATTTATTTTTTTCCCCTTTTTTTTTTTTTTTGTTCCTCCCTTTCTTTCTTTCACTTCAGGGATATGTCAGTAAATTCCAGCCTGCACCATTAGGTATAGAATATAGATTTGAAACATAGAAGATGATTTACTAGCTGACAATTTTTTTTTTCATAAACAATTTGAACTGATAGAAAGAATCAAATTTTTGTGTATTTTTCCCCTCTCTCACCAGTACCCAGAATGGAATGAGCCCGGAGGATGCATTGTGGAGATGGCAGTTTCCAATAACTCTCGTCATGTGGCTCTGCTGTCTGACACCGGCAAGCTCTGGATTGGCTCGTCCGACATCCGCATCAAATACTGTGAATACGATGTGAAAAGCCAAGTGAAGCCAAAGCAGATTGCGTGGTAAGTTCAGCATTTGAGGTAACAGGATAGAGTAGTGAGGAGATAGTTGGAGTATCCTCATTCCAGTACTGATTTTACTTATGCTGTTTTTGTAGTGAATATTATTTGGTGTATTTTCTTCTAATGGATGAGGTTCTTTGTGTCTGAATTTAATGAAAATGCTTCCTTCCGATATTACTTTTATTTGCATGAAGAAGATGGTGACATATTTTATAATGCTTGTAGGATAAGAATGTGTATGTAAATACAGAGTCATTTATGTATTTAACTTCCCTTAAAGAAAAGTATAGAGTCCATACTTCTTGACCAGGTGTGGTACAGGGGCTGTGGTGCTACTATGGGACATGACGCTAGAAGTAGTCAGCGTTAATGGTGATGCCACGAGCTACTACTTAGATTCTACATCACATCTAGTGCAGGAACCAGATGGTGTGAGAGTGTTAGGAAGTACTGCTCATGATCTTCTACAGAAGGTAGGCTTGGACAAAACTTATGACAAAATTCTGCAAAAATGGAGATTTATTTTATTATGTTTTGCTGCTACATTTGTTGCTTGTGGCAAAAATGGCTGAATACCAGTGATTTTATTTCAGGTGCCATTGGTTGTGACAGAGACCTTAGGCATTGGCTCTATGGCTCCTGGGGCTCTCCTCCTTGAAGCAGCCAAAGGTTTCCAGGTATTGATAGCTACAGCATCTTTTAGCCTTATGTGTAAAAGTACTGTAAAGTTTTTGAAGCTCAGAAGCTTGAGAACTAATTACCTTTTTTGCAAATATTTCCATAATAGAAAGTGGATTTAGATTGTGTCATCCAAATTTTCCATTCAGGTGTATTAAAGAGAATATCTGATGCTTCTTTCCTATAGGAGAGGAGCACAAGAGCCAATGACTGTCTTGCAATGATTAAGGACACTCTGGAGGAGGCAGTTAACCACTGTTTACAAGCAGCGCAACATGAGTACCGACCACAGACTCAGAAAATGCTGCTTCGAGTAAGAATTCTAGGATGCTTTTTCTTGTATTTTTTCTGAGAATGAAAGATGTTGATGCTTTGAAGACAGTGTAATAAAATCTTAGTAGAGCCATATGTAGTTAATTTTTGTTGATTTTTTTCTCTTTCTTGCTGCGAATAATCTTTTCTTGGGTCTTAAAATGTATGTTTTTTAAGATTAAAAACAAAATTTTTCACCTACAGGCTGCATTGTTTGGAAAAAGCTTCTTGCCAGAGATTAACCCAGACCCATGTAAAAAGGCAATTTTTACACTCCGAGTCTTATGCAGTAGGATTACAGAGTAGGTAAGTTTTAAAAGATAGTGTTTACAAGCCAAATAATATGAAATCAAATTTCATGCTGGAATATCAAGTGACCTGAGCATTCTTAAAAGGAGAGTATGAATATGCATTGCTGTCACCTTCTTAGTAATAGAATATAATTAACTTTTTCTTGTTAAGTAATAGTGCAAATAATTGTGTAACTATCACCATTTTTTTTCTCCAAACAATAGGTTTACCCCTCACTTGGAACCAGCTAGAACACCTTACCCTTCCTGTGTTATTGGACCGGTTGGTGTTTCGAAGATTCTTCCCCCTAGCCCTTCAGATTGCTTCATTTCTCAAGATGCCAGAGTCTGATGGTGCCTCTCGCATACTGGCACACTGGGCTTGCTATAAAGTAAGTAGCTTTGTGTGTACTTGTCAGCATGTGTAGGTATTAAAGTGTGTGTTTGTGTCAGTGTCTTTTTATCTCAGTGTGTACATATCTTTATTACCCACTTCTTTTTTATTATCATTATTACTTTTCCCTCCATGCCTCTGCAAATTTGTCCAAACCCATTTATATAATAATTTGTGCTGATAACTGTTTTAATAGCTTTTCATAATATCAATTATTCAGGTATCCATGAACCTAAACAAAAATATTAACTATAAATACCATGTTTTGCAGGTATTACAGCCATCACAGAAAAGCGATGAGCAGATAGCAAAAGAGATAAATAGTAAATTGGGCTATACGCCAGGGATATCGTACACTGACATCGCTAATCGAGCAGACCAAGCAGGCAGGAAGCAACTTGCTATAAAGGTATGAAAAGTGAATAGAATGATAGGAAGTTAGATACTGTATTTTTATGAGGGTCTTATAAAGAAGACAGTTGCTTTACTTTAACTGATAATTCTTATGCTGACTAATGAATGATTTCAGATAATAGTTTATTAAGTGTTTACTGTTGATTTATAAACTTTCAGATCAATGGGCTTATGTCCAAGATTTATTCATATTTTAATCTGAGTATTAATGCAATATTTATTTTTATTTATTCTTTGTTTCAGTTGATTGAGTATGAGTGCAGAGCAAAGGAACAGGTTTTGGTGCTGATGAGACTGGGTGAAGACCAGACTGCGCTGAGACGAGCCCTGCAAAGCGGAGATACTGACCTTATTTATACTGTGCTCCATCACCTGCGTCAGAAACTCTCATCTGGTGATTTCTTGGTGAGTGTCATGTTCTTTCAATCTTTTCTTCTAATGTTTTTTTTTCCTTTTTTTACTGCATGAAAAAATGTGTTAGACTGTTGGAAGTTTGTATTGTTTTTCATTGTATTTAAAGTGATGTGATTTTAAACTTCAGGATGTACTTGCAATTATTTGTTTTTCATGTTCAATTTATGAATAATTGAAATGAAAATCTATGGATGATTGAATTGTGACTTTTGATTGTTAATATTTAAATAGTTATAAAAGAGGTATGCAAATAGTTATTTGTTTTATTTCATTTCATTTAATTATGTTTATTTTAGAAGTGAAGGACATATGTCTTGAATTTCTATTTTATTGCTAGCATTATTATTATAGGAATGTTAGAAATTATATATATTATCTTTATTATTTGATTATCATTGTTATTGTTTTCCCATTTATTATAGTAATTATTTCATTACCCTTATCACTTGTTCATTTCTATATTTTTGTACATCTTATTCTCAGATGTTCATCCGGAATTTCCCTGTGGCCCAATCGCTCCACATCCGCAGCTGTCGGGAGCTGGACATGGAGCAGCTGCGTGATATTTTGGTACAGGAGGATGACTTCCACGGGCAAGCTCTGCTTAGAATTAAAGAAGCTTACATGTCCAATGTAAGTGTTTTTTTTGTACATCATGGCTCACTGTTTATTTTTTTTAAATTTAGTTTCTTATGTGTGTGTTGTGTGTGTTGTGTGTTTTACTACTCAGGATATGGTATAGATAAATGATTGTCTTTTTGTTGCTGTTGTTTTTTTTAAAGACAGATCAGAAGGATGGACCTGCAAGAACAGGTTCTAGGAAAGTTAATGATACTAGCATTAGTCTCAAAGAAAAAGAATGAAAGAAAAAGGCAATGTCATTCAACTACAAGAATTTTGACAGAGAAAACAACAACTTAAATTTAAACTTAAGCTTAAACTTAAACTTGGACTTCAGACTCTGTTGAATTAGTCACTAATTATCTGTATGTACTTACAGAGAACAGATACAAGACAAGCCTCCCTGCAAGGTGCAGCAGAGCTCTTCAGGAAAGCAAAGAATGAATCTGCGTGTCAGATGACGGAGGAACAAGTGAAGCTGGTCAAATGGCAGGTGAGTTGTGTTATTTGTATATCTATTTATTTATTTTATACATGTTATTTTCAATGATGTAGTTATTAGTATGACTCTGGTATCATTTCTTTTTCTTCTTTGCAAAGTCAGGGGGTGTTTGGGGATGAGACTGGGGGAATTATGGGATCTGATTCAGTCCTCTGTGTAAGTGCAGTCAAGAGTGTGAGAGATGTATTTACAATTAGTCTCCATAAGTGGCTCTCATGTGAAATGTATGACTAGTGAGAGTGGGGTCACATATGATCCTATTAGTATATTATTGAGTAAAAGAAAAGATGATTCAGTCTCTGTATACATTTTCTGTATTTTGTGTTTATATTTTGCTAAGACTTATTCCCTAGCAAAACTTTAAAGGTATGAGCATGCAAGTGAAATTCATGTGTTTTCTGCTATTCCATTTCTTAATGGTTTTGTCATACTTATGAGTTTAATTTTAGAGAGTGGTATGATTTTCTTTTAAGATGAGAACAGTCTTATCACAGGTCATCAAACCAGCAATGTAACATCTCTATATCCTATTTCCATAGGTGAGACTAGAAGATGGTCAGCATAAGCCTTACGTTAACAAATCCCTCTATGATACTCTGCATCAGCTGTTAATCGATGGACAAATTAAAGAAGCAGAGAAGTTGAAAACTGAATTCAAGATACCAGAAAGGAGGTTTGTATATTTTTAAGATTAGATTGCAGAATAAAGTTTTTATGTATTTTTTTTCTTTGTATGAATGATAGAAATGTAGGGGGGTTTAGTAAGTAAGATTTGGATATTGGGTTTTATTTATAAAATACCTTTGCTGGACTGTACTTTATTCACTAAAGTAAA